CTCAGTTGGTTCTGCAGTGTTCAGTCTGTGCTGGTGAATCAGGTCCTCAGACCAAAGACACAGGTTTGACTCTGGACTGCAGGACTGGACTGTGACTCTGTCTCGTCCTCCTGTGAGGCTGGTGTCCACAGTAGATGTTCACATCTGTCTGTCTTCACTACTTCTCTCTTCAAGTTTTTGATCTGTCTCATGGTCTGCGAATCATTACTTAAACTCAGGGTCCCCTTACTGGATTTCTCCCAAGGCTTTCAGCCACATCTAATCTCATCAGCAGGGTTTACTCAGCTTTCATAGAGAGTTTACAAATAAATAAATACTTGATTATTAAACATAATAAATACTTCGAAATAAAGGGGCATATTTGATGTGATTACAGCTGTTGTTGTTGATTATTCATCATCTGTTTATACACCAGTTACTGATGATGATTCATATGATGAGTTATAGTCATTAATAAATCATTTATTGTTCATAATGTTTCTTATTGATGTTAAAATAAAGTTTTATCAGCAATGATGTATCAGTACAGGTGTACTGACAGTACAGGTGTACTCTGTACTCTGTGAATGAAACCAGGTGTTGTTGTTGAACCTAGCTCATGCCCACTTTACAGTCCACACAAACACAGTTTAAAAAGCTACAGAGATCATTATTAGTTCAAATGAATCTAAAGAACTGAATTTAACTGGAACTGAAAAATGAATATAAAATAATGTCAGGTCTACACCTAACACACCTAACCCTGTAAAGAACCTTGAGATAATGTTTGTTATGATTATGACACACACACACACACACATACATATATATATATATATATATATATATATATACAGTGCACCCGGAAAGTATTCACACCCCATCACTTTCCCGACATTATGTTATGTTACAGCTTTATTCCAAAATGGATTAAATTCCTTTTTTTCTCATTAATCTACACACAATACCCCATAATGACAAAGTGAAAAAGGTTTTTTAGAAATTCTTGCAAATTCATTAAAAATAAAAAACTGAAATATCGCATGTACATAAGTATTCACACCCTTTGCTATGACACTCAAAAGTGAGATTAGGTGCATCCTGTTTCCACTGATCATCCTTGAGATGTTTCTACAACTTGATTGGAGTCCACCTGTAGTAAATTCAATTGATTGGACATGATTTGGAAAAGCACACACCTGTCTATATAAGGTCCCACTGTTGACAGTGTATGTCAGAGCAGAAACCAAGCCATGAAGTCAAAGGAATTGTCTATAGACCTCCGAGACAGGATTGTATTGAGGCACAGATCTGGGGAAGGGTACAAAAAAATAGATTCTCTGGTCTGATGAAACCAAGATTGAACTCTTTGGCCTGAATGCCAAGCATCATGTCTGGAGGAAACCAGGCACCTCTTATCACCTGGCTAATACCATCCCTACGGTGAAGCATGGTGGTGGCAACATCATGCTGTGGGGATGTTTTTCAGCGGCAGGAACTGGGAGACTATTCAGGATTGAGGGAAAGATGAAACGGAGCAAAGTACAGAGATATCTTTGATGAAAACCTGCTCCAGAGAGCACTCAGGACCTCAGACTAGGGCAAAGGTTTACTTTCCAACAGGACAACAACCCTAAGCACACAGCCAAGACAACAAAAGAGTGGCTTCAGGACAAATTTGTGAATGTCCTTGAGTGGCCCAGCCAGAGCCCAGATATGAACCCGATTGAACATCTCTGCAAAGACCTGAAAATAGCTGTGCAGCGATGCTCCCCATCTAACCTGAGGATCTGCAGAGAAGAATGGTAGAAATACCCCACATACAGGTGTGCCAAGCTTGTAGCTTCATACCCAAGAAGACTTGAGGCTGTAATCGCTGCCAAAGGTGCCTCAACAAAGTACAGAGTAAAGGGTGTGAATACTTTTGTACATGCGATATTTCATTTTTTTATTTTTAATAAATTTCCAAAAATTTCTAAAAAATCTTTTTCGCTTTGTCATTATGGGGTATTGTGTGTAGATTGATGAGAAAAAAAGGAATTTAATCCATTTTGGAATAAGGCTGTAACAACAAAATGTGGGGAAAGTGAAGGGGTGTGAATAATTTCCAGATGCACTATATATACATATATATACATGAACATATACATATGTACATTATGATCATATGATGGTCAGAGCTCAACACACAGCTAGAAAAACATAAGTGTGTGTGACCCAGCTGCTGTTGAGCTGCCCTCCCCCATTCTCTATGGACATTTAGCTAAAAGAGTCAACCCCCATTTTACTCAGTGTCTCTGTCTCTCTTTTTTGTCTCTGTGTCCTCATGTCCCTGTAGACCATTCTGTCTCCATGTCTCTTCATTTCTCCTCCATTGTACTTCACCTCTGTCTCTTTATGCTTCTCTCTATTCCTTCTCTTCATCTCTTCACATTCAGACAGTCTGAAGCTTCATTTAGTGAGAAACAGTCTCAAATTCAGCTGAAGATTATTGAAGGTCTGAACATGTGTAAGAGTTTCAGTGAAGTTTATTCAGTGTTTACTGAAAATCTGACAGCAACTGAGATTTTTACACCAAAGACTTTTATCATCCACCCCCATCATTTCTAAAGCTGCACTGCCACCTTGTGGACACAGACAGCATCACTGAAGATCTACAACCATTTCTTAGAGGAACGCTGGTTCTATTGGAGAACTGGTGTCAGGGTCAAATCAGTTAGAGGCGATGGAGCCTGCAGACACAGACTGGAGCTGTACACTGGTCAGAATAAAAAGACAACACACACAAACACACAAACACTTTTACAAAGGAACCAGTGACTGTACAGAAAAAACTCACTGTGAAGAAGATCTGGAGCCAGAGCCAGAACCAGAGTCAAACAGGATGACCCCCCCTCTGAACACATCAGCAACTCAATAGTTTACTGGAGTATTTCTATTTTATGTTACTTTATAATTCTAATACATTGATTATTAGTATAAATCATCAAATATAATAACTTTAATAGTGTGAGACTCACAGGGACCATTCCTGCTGCAGTGTGTTCACCTCCTCTGTCTGTCTGTTGGCTTCTTTACTAGTGTCTTTTTATGCCAGTTGATGAAAATTGTCACGCAAACGTTACTGTTGATCCACAGTGTGTTGTATTTGTTCCAAGTAATTGTAGTGGACGTGCTTTAAAGAGGTCACAGTAAGGACCAAAGACTTGTCCTTCCTGCTCTCACACAGTGGAAATATCACATGAACCCAACTATTTCAAAACATCAGAATGATTTATGACCAGCTGAACTAAATGGACACAAGGAAACAACCAAAAAATCCCGAGAATGACGAGTTCAGTAAAATAAAATCTGATCTCTACACTAATATTTACTCTTATTTCCCTCAGAACAGATATCATAAAAAGAACTACTCATCAGAGTGTATTTTTCATACACACTCACACACACAAATGAATCACAACCCAGAATATTTGACAACTTCACCACATTTCACCACAGTTCACTCTGTTTTATTCCCCTGTGCAGGCGACATTCAGAGCAACGTCTCTTCATCCCGTTCTAGTGGACACGATATCTTGGTAACACCTTGATGGAATTTCTTCAAATTTGGCACAAACATTCACTTGGAGTGAAGGACAAACTGATTAGATTTCGTTGATCGAAGGTCAAAGGTCAAGATGAGTGTGACCTCACAGCCATTACTCAAGACTTCTCACAAATGGTTAATTTTTTCTATGAGTCTGGATAAACAGAAATGTAACCTGAAACCAGTCTAAGTGGAGGAGGCAGACAACCACGAGGAGGTGATTCTAGTTTCTGAAGGTTTTTGTCATGTGACCAACAGTCAACTTCTAAAGTTATCTAGTAAAACTAAAAGTTAATTTCTGCACTCTGTCACATTACCTGAGGACACACAGACTGACAACCTGTCTGTTAGAGGAAAGCCTGAAAACTGACTTCAGAGACACTGACAGAACCTGTTGTCTAGGCAACCACACAACAAGAGCTGCTGTTTCCACTTTGTATATTTGCTAGATTACCAGTCTTCATTAGATAGATAGATAGATAGATAGATAGATAGATAGATAGATAGATAGATAGATAGATAGATTGATATATACTTTATTTATCCCCTAGGGGAAATTCACATGTCCATTAGCTCATTGTTGATAATAATAAAATAATAATAACAGTTGATAATAAATAAACAATAAGAATTAGATTAGTCAACTTCCTTTGGCTGAGGTTTTGTATAGCCTGATAGCAGTGGGAACAAAGGATCTCCTGAACCTCTCTGTTCTGCAGCACAGTGAGATGAGACAATACTTAAGCATAATCACACGAGAGGGAGTGATGTACTGAATACCAGCACGGCTATGACTTGGTCATAGGTACAAGGCAGCAGGCAGAATACCGAAGACAATCATAGCCGTGCTGATATTCAGTACAACATCACAACCTTGAGTATGATATTGCTTTTATACAGCAGTTCATCAAGCACCATATTAGCCCAGATTATGATTCGTTTGTTTATTTGGCAACACCAACACAAATAGTTCCGCAGCTGGACTGGTACTGGACTGTTGCTAAGCAACACATAAACATTTTCCCGACCTGCACAGTGCACACTAGCTTGCTACTTTGTCTACATGTTGCCTCAGGTGCGCTAGTTAAAAGTACCAGTGCTGTTATACTCTATATCAGCACTAATGGAATGCCTCTCTCCTCTCTTTTCTCACTAATGGAAAAACACAGCAAAAAGCTTCATCACATGAGGTCTTCCTTACTGTCCTCATTCATCAAAGAAACATCACTCAGTTTGTGCAGTACACCATGAAACCTGTAAAACAAATGGCATGCTTTTATTTTGAAGGCAATTGTCTCATTTCCAGGAAAGGATCTAACACTGGTGAACTTTACTTCCCCTTCTCCAGGGTAACCATTGTAACTGGGGTAACCTGTATACACAAACAGAGAATGTGAAGAGTTGAAACATAGATAGATAGATAGATAGATAGATAGATAGATAGATAGATAGATAGATAGATAGATAGATAGATTCACTGCTTCAGTCCACCACAGGTAGGCTACAGTATATTTATAACTGTATGTAACAGAGTGTGTGTTCAGTCTATGTGTTTATAATGTGTTTTACATCATGTCCTTGTTAAACTGGTATTTAGGATTAGACACTGACTAACTAGTTACTTACACAGTAACCGGCACTCAGTCAGGACAGTCTGTGACGTCACAGCAGGTGAATCTTGTCTGATGACGTATCTTGAAACATCTATCAGCTCTGGACTAACCTTAGAGAGAGTTTTGTCTCTGTCTTTCTGAAGCTGAGTGAGCTGCTCCACCATCGCCATCTTGGCAGTGTCTGACTCTGCCCCTAACACTCAGCTTATCCAAAAATGGTCAAAGAGGTAGGGTGTTTTGGAGCTGAGACTCTGGTGCATGCCAGTTTGTGACAAGCATGAGCTCACCCACCTGTCACTCAAAGAGGCCACGCCCTCAATTCTACATAACAGTTGTCATGAAGGAGGAAATCAGCTACAGAGACCAAAACTGTTTTTGTACCAGGCTGTAAACATGTTTATTTCTGCTGTAAATTTTAACATTTTAACATGGGAGTCTATGGAGATTGGCTCACTGTTGGAGCCAGACTCTAGTGTTCATTAGAGGAACTGCAGGTTTTGGTTCTTCATTGTTGATTCTTAATTTTTCAGGCCCAGAGGTTGATGCTTCACTCAGATCCATGATATTTTCTCGTAATCTTACTCATCCCTGCAGGCTGACTTGGTCAGGGAGCATGCAGGTAGAGACAGATTGATTGAGCCAGTGAGGAAGGAAGAGTTCTACTTTCTACCACAATGACTGACACAGTGACACAGAGCAGAGTTACACCAACACGAGGCTGGACGATGATACTGGCTTTACACCTGATCTTGTTTAACAGTGCCCAGCAGTGTCCCAAGTGTTACATCAGTAATACATGGTACGTGTGTGTGTGTGTGTGTGTGTGTGTTTCCACAGTGTAAAGATGCCATCAGCTGAGGAAAAGAGTGATATGGAGCGCCTGGGTGTGTTTAAAGAGATGAGCTACATCTCTTCAGGAGACAAGTACACTCCACCCTCCTCCCGTGAGAATAAAGTCTATTTATTTCTCTTCCTGGATCCTTCACAATAAAAGCCTGTGAGTGCAGATATCAGGTTGAGCTGATATCTGATGATGTGTAAAGAATACCAAGAGTTTCCTGTAGAGGATAACACGATCATCATCGTGTCCACTTCTGTCTCTTTTAAATGATTTCAAAGGTACAGAGGAAAGAGACTTGTTGGCTGTAATTTATGTCAATGACAGGAATGTTCATGTTCCTTCAGAGTTACACAATATGATCATGTGTGAATGTGATCCCTAATCCAGATCCATTCAATGAGTCGGCCTATCGCAGCCGGCAGATGCAGGCGGGTGTGGCCACACAACGCTGTGCTCTGCAGAGCGGCTTCTTCGACAAGTCCTTCAAACGGGTTTTTGAACGTGAGGCTCTGAGTGACCCGCTGAGACTTGCCCAGCAGAACCGCATCCAGCAGGCAAAGAAGAACCTGGGCAAGGCCTTCCTGCCCAGTAACGGTGTCAAGAAGCTGTGAGAACACACACACACACACACACACACACACACACACACACACACACACACACACACACACATACACAGGCTCCTGCATCTGCTGTCTTGATAGATAAGGTGGCAGTAGGGGATCAGTCATGGTGTCATTATGTTCACTGGAGAGTGTGTGTTCTAGGCCACAACCAGGTCCAGGTCTAACATGAAAACTTGAAGCTGATCCACTCAGTCAGAATCTAAATGTACCTGAGCTGAAGCTGTGGTCTCTTCTACTCTGACTGAACATCCGTACAAACTTTCCTTTCACATCTTCAACCATGACCCAATGTGTGCACACATGTCCATACACACAGTGACAGTTATTTATCTGCTGTATCTCCTACTTTATCTCACTACATTACATATATATTATCTGTTTGCCTTCAGCTGTGGGTCAGGCAGTTACTATGGGACTCTGTCAGGACCCGTCGAAGCCATGAGTCCTCTGACTGTCACCTGGAAACCTCATCGCTCGCCTGGACGCAACATCATCTCCTCACCGCCCAAGAAAGGAAGTGGTTACAGGTTCATGGCAAGAACACAGTTACACTTTAAAGAGATCAGTGGACAGGGACTTTATTTGAATGAACCTAGATGTATGGATGATTTATTGATCATGAGGATGTTCTGACTGACTGATGACAGTAACATCTGTTCTCCCCTGCAGCTATCCCAACATCACACTGTCTAGACTGCAGGTTTACGTCTCTGAGCCCTACGACAGAGCCAGAGAGGCTCTGAAGGTAACTCTACACCATCATGTCTGCAGGTCAAGGAATCAAGGAAATGTCCTAACTGAGTCTGGTCATAGAGATCAGATGGTCAGAGACAAACATGGAGCAGTCAGACCATCAGACAACAAGTCAACACTGATCCTCATATAGGGACAAATAATATACTGAACATAAGCTGGATGATACGTTCCTTTTCTTATTTTACTGTTCTCACTGGACATTAAACACAAGGATGGATCCAGATGACTAGAGTCGGTAAAAGAATGAGATGTTATGTCTTAACAAAATGACCAATCAGCAGTCATGACTTACATCATGGTTCAAACCCAGAACCTGATGCTGTGCTCTGACTCAGGTAGCACAGTTTAACGCCTGTGTGCTTCCTTCAACACCTGAATTTTTATTCCTCCATGCTGGCGACAGTCAGAACCATACTGTTTTGCAATGGTACGTCCTTCTGTGTCATTCTCATGGACACAGTATTTCAGTAATGACTTGATTGAATGTCTTTGAATTTGAATTTCTGACCTGACAAAACACTTTTTATCCATAACTCAAGACTTGCAAGACACAGCAATTATCACAAAGAGTCATACAAATGGTTCATATTTTCTGTGACTCTGGATAAACAGGGATGTAACCTGAAACTAGTCTGAGTGGAGGAGGCAGGCAACCACCAGGAGGTGATTCTAGTTTGTATTTATTTTATTTTATTTTATCTTCTCAGGTCTCACTTGTAAATGAGTTCTCAATCTCACTGTGACTTCCTGATTAAATAAAGTTAATAAATAAATAAACACAGTAGATTCAGAAGACGTATTTTGACTTGCTATTGGTCACACAACTCTATGTGGAATGTTCACATGGATTCATTTCTTATGTCTGATTGTGGTGATTCCATTTAATTATTGAAAAGTAAATGTTTATGTGTGTGTATGTGTGTTTCAGCGGGAGGCAGCAATCCACCGCTCCAGGTTCAGAGACGGTCCCTTCAAGCTGAACCTTCACCCCAGAGATTATTTCCAGGTGAACCCATACCACAGTGACAAGCCGCTGTCCCCAGCACATAGACCAGTCCTGCCAGCCCAGAGAGTCTCTGCTGTTCCCTTCAAGCCCCCCTCCCCCAACAAACGGGTGTGTGTCTGTGTGTGTGCTGTGTTAGCTGGAGATGATGCTGCATGAGTGATGAGCTGCTGTAATGTGTCTCTGCTCTGTTAGGCTGGAGGGATGAAAGCAGGAACCTTTGACTCTTATCCCTCTCACTCTGCTGATCCCTTCATCACTCGCCGTCCCAAACCCCCCGTCAAAGAGCCTCTGTTTCGTCCAGCTCCTGGTCCCAAGACCTCACCTGTGAAGAGCATCATCACTGTCAATGTGAACAGGTGTGATCCCCGTCTCTCTCCGTCTCTCTCTTTCCTCCTCTCTCTGTCCTCCTCTCTCTCACCTTCACCTTCCCTCTCTCACCGTGCCTCTCTCTCCTCCTCTCTCTCACCTCCTCCCTCTCACGTTCCCTCTCTTTCCTCCTCTCTCACCTCCTCTCTCTCACATTCCCTATCTCTCCTCCTCTCTCTCACATTCCCTCTCTCTCCTCCTCTCTCTCACCTCCTCCCTCTCAAGTTCCCTCTCCACACCTCTCTTTCCTCTGTGGTTCCTGTGGAGATGATTCCTCAAGGAAAGACTATCCCAGTGGACAGTGTCACTGAGGCTGCTGACAGAGGAATCTTCCTCTGGAACTTACATCAACTTGTTTTAGGTCTCTGAGCAGAAACAAGCTGTGAACATATAAAGCTGATATGTTGAACATGTGATCAGACAGCTGGTCATCTCCACATCCAGCTGTTACAGATCAACATTGCGATTAACATGGTGTCTGTGTCTCCTTTTGAGTCTCAGTCCAGTGTTCCCTCTCTTTCTTTTAGCTCTGTGTTGGTCCACCAGCTCCTCTGTAGCTGCACTGTGTTCACAGCTGCTCTCTGACTGAGTCTGTCTCCTGGTGGACAGGTAGAAAAACACAACAGTAAACCTGCAGGTGGTAAAGTCAAGACAATGAGACAGCAGACTGAAATGATACGTGTGACACGTTACATGTAGTGATTTGATCTGTTGTTAATACACAGATAAAGCAGCTTTAACCAGTAACAGTCTGTATGAGACAGGAACACTGAGACTGAAGTCTGACTTCAGTTTAAACAGAACACATTTCAGTTTTAGGTTTTTGTTCTTTAACAATAATAGAATGTGTGTATGTATATGTATGTCCTGTATATGAATGTATATGTATGTCCTGTATGCATATATTTATATTTGTGTTCTTTGTTCTTACAAAAGTTGTCAGAGAGAAGTCTTCAGAATAAATTTCATGTCTCTCTTGTTTCAGGAGTGTTCACTCTGCAAACTACACCTCAACCATCCCAGCTGCGATGACCTTCTGACTACATTACCCATACTGCACCAACACTGGCAGTGTACATGTTATTTTATTGTGTCTGTTTTACCATCAGCTGTCACCAGACTCCTGCAGATATAAAGCTATAAAGGTTTTTACTCCATCATGAAGACAATGAGGTTTAAACAATCAGCTCTTTCTGCTTCTGAATATTTATAATGTTGAATGTTTGAATTTCATACAGGAATAAACTGGATTTATTCTTGTCTTCAGTTTATGAAGTAACTCTCTGTTCTTATTCTGAGGTTCATGGAGAAATGTCTCCTGATGATCAGGACAGCGTGTCTGAGCCAGATGTTTTTTACACATCTGTCTGATGGAGACTGCTGTGAGAGTCAGAGCAAACACACACTGGAACTTATCAAAAACAAACAGCAGGTGTAACACAAACCTGATGTGCAGGTGCATTAATAATACACTCACATGACACTGTGACTACAGTAAATCTATAACTTTAACTTCAATATTTATTCATGATAAATATTAAACACTGTGTTTCTCTCTTTTTTAAGTGAGACTTCTCAGTGCTTTCATTCTCCTCTCTGTAAAAGGTAACTGTATATGCTGGCTGATGCACAAGTTCAGCTACCAGAGGAAAGATTGATAAGTCTGAATAAATCCATACTCACTGATCACTTTATTAGGAATACCACACTAACACTGCATAGTTCCTCCTCTGCTCTCAAACAGCCATTCAGTTCTTCATGTCATGGTTCCACCACATGTTGGAAACTTTCCTGTGAGTTACTGAAGAAGATCCCAGACCTGAAGGGGGTGCCATCAGACCTGGTGGTCCCTCTGTGTCAGGAGGTGGTCCAGTGTTCTGCTGGTTGTGGGTAGAGACAGAGGGTGTGCAAGAGAATCTCAGGGAAGTCCTTCAAGTCTGAGTGACCATGGAGGAGAAGGATTTTTTTTATTTTGTTTGTATTGAAAAAAATATAAAAGTGTTGATGATTTGATTTTTGTTAGGGTCTGTTCCCCTGCTATCTATATTACTGTTATCAACGTTATTATGGATATTAATGTTATCTATATTATTGTTGTCTATATTGGAGATTAGTTTATGTAAGTTTGAAAGAGTTTGATGGCTGTAGAATATTTCATGACCTGTTGGGTGTAGCTGTGCTGGCTTGAACCTATTATATTGATTTTATTTTGAATGGCCGATTTAATTTGTATTGACTCTCTGACTTTACTAACACAACATTTATCACTGGTTCATCATCTGCTGGCTGTTAATAATAACACTATGGTCAGATCTGTGTGCAGCTGAACTTTACACCACTAAGCACCAAAAATCCAAACCACGTTTCCTCTAAGTGGTTCTTTTATTTAGAAACAACCTTTAGTTGTTCAAATAATATTTATCATTCATTTTCTTGTATTGAATTTTGAATGTTGTGTGAGTGAACAGAGCTGTATTTCTGTAAACTGTGTTGCTGTTCAGGCTGCGGCTGGGACATTTGCTCATGGGAAGATCTTTGGGTGAGCTTCCCTTCCCACAATGCTCAGCGGCACACGCGTTCTATAAAAGTGTACGTGACTTCCGCTCTCCCTCTTACTCTGCCGGAGCTGCAGCTGTGTGAAGGAGCCGGTGTTAGAGCTGGTGAGTGTTTCAGCTTGTTAACGCGCTTTAATTAATTTGATTTAACGAGCTCAGCACGAAGAGAAATCGTCTCCTGTTTAATTAACTGATTAATGAAGTGTTCACTGTTAACATGTCGCTGTGGAAACAAATGGTTCAGACTGTTTCTGAACAGAAATGGCGGGTTTATGTTAAGACATCATTACCGGCACAGCTTGAAGCACGTGGCTGTTGGTACCCCTCTCTGATCAGGGGTTACAAGCTGTGATTAATGGTTAATCATCTACCAGTAGTGTATAAATCAGTTATAAGCTGTTAATGAGAAGTCTTGCGTTGCCAGGTTTGTGTAAATCCTCCTCCAGCAGATGTCTGCCAGCTCTTTGCTTCATTATAGAGCCCTCTCTGTCTGGCCTGCTGTGTTTCGGGGAAGGTCTGCAGGACTAGAATCCAGTTAGAACCTGATAAACATGTAGGACTGCAGACTCTGACGGTCGGTCCACTGAGTCATTAACATGTAGATTAGCAGCTAAAAGCTAACGAACCATTAGAACCTTTTAATGCCACAGTTACATGTCAGTCTGCAGATCTGATGCCTGAGAGACTGAACACTTTTAATTTTTGTTAGCATTAATTATTATTACTGAGTGGACACATGTTATTACAAGACATCTGAATTAAACGAGATAGTCTCACAGTCAACAGGCCATGTTTACTGTTAAGTTTAATTTGTGAATCAACAGCTAGTTAATAACTGGTTAACTTGTTCTAACATGATCAGTCAGTAGTTATGAATATTAATAATCAGATACTAAGTGGGTTCTAGTCCAGATGTCCTGCAGACCTTTTGAGACATCTCCTGATGAATCAGTCTGTCTGCTGGAGGATTTTTTCACAACCTAGCAACCCAAGCTGTTAATGGCTACTAACTCATAACTGATTAGTAAATGAGTAATTAACCATTAAAAAGCCTTTAGCTACAGTACTGTGTACAAAGCTGAAAAAATGGTCTTATCAGACTGTCATATCAGTTTATTTATAGAGCAACAGATGTTGTTCAGTGATTCACAGATGAAATGATCAGTATATTTTATAAGAATCAGATAAAACACAGAAATGATCAAATTAAAACTGGACCTGAAATAAAAGGATAAAACCTGTTCTGTTCTCAGAGATCAGAAGAACAGTCCATCTGTACAGAGATGTGGTCTCTGGTCTTGGTGCTGGTAAGGGGTCTGACAGCTGCAGGATGAACCATCTCCAGGTGAGTCTGGACTGTGGATTAGATCATACTGTCTACAGTCCAGTGTATGTGACTGGTACTTGTTGTGTGCACCAGAAACTCATTCAAATAAAGTGACTGATGTGAAGTATTTTCAGACTGTGATGGTGTGAGGTGATTATTGAAGGGCTCTGCAGTGAGGACCTGATCAGAGCCTCCTGTAGACCATAGACCACCTGCCCACCACCTCACTACCTGCTTCAGTTTGGCCTTTGTTACGTTGAACTAAACTGACGTTCATGTTTTCAGATGCTGTGCTCACTGTTGAGCCAACACTGACTGAGGGACAGTTATGGACAGAGCTGCCAGCCTCCATCTGGCTCTCAGATGACAGGTAAACGCACTTACATGAATAGTACAGGTTTAGTAACTTGAATTTAAAGACTGAAAATGATCCCCCCCAGCGCTCAGTCAGCTGACCAGGCGATGTGTGTCTGGCTCAGTGTTACAGTGCTGGTAGAGGAAGCCTCTGTTCTTGGTCTCGGCTCAGCAGGTTCTGTTTTAGAGTCTGCTGCAGTTGAGCTGCTGCAGAGCGCAGCCCAACGAGAGTGGCCTGTCCTGGTTCAACAGCAGGGCGGGCCTAGTGCAGGGCTGCACATCCACACACTGACACCACCAGAGGGTGTCTTTAGGGCGCTGACACCACCAGGGGGTGCTGTTAGGGCACTGGAGTTATACAGGAACAGTGAACAACAAGAATCTGAAACTCTTTAGTTTGGTGGTTTAAAACGGTCGTTTCCACAGGTGATACCTCTGCTACATGTGAGGGTTCATGACACCACCTGTCTAAACCTCAGCTGAGCTTTTGTCAGTAACATGACGGTCAAATCTCTAATTTGACTCCTATCATCAAATAGAAGCAGTTTAACCTGTGAGCTCAGTTTGTGTTGATCAATTGTTTCCTCTTGACCCTGAAAACCCACTGACCTGCGGACACTGTTGTCATGGTTATTGTAGGCGGAGCCTCTGGGCTGCTCATTGTGGAGCTGACAGTCCTCCTGCAGGTGAAGGTGAGTCTGACTGAACCAGTTTTACTTTATTCGTCCTACCTGCTGTGATGAGTGAATATATAACACATCATGCTGACAACACCATGGTGACTTTTAACCTCTGAGCTCAGCTGATTGTCAGCTGTGCTCAGTTGTGTGGTTGTGGTTTCACTCACTGCTCTGTTCTCTACAGGAGCATGTGCAGCAGCTGGCCTGCAGGGGGCAGCACCCACCTGAGGAGTTGAGACATCAGGTGTGATACAAATGTGATGCTCATTATGTTGAAACCCAATCTGTACTGCTATGGCAGAGACGTCTCCTCTCTGCTGTGGAATCTTTGTATTGGGAGAGAAACTCAGGACTTGGCACAGGTTCATATAAAACCAATTTACCAGAACCTGACTGAAGACCTGGAACAGACTCAGTCTAATGTTCTCCTGCCCTGAACTTGGAGATGAGCTGTCTATTAATTATCTTTGTGTTTACAGTGAGATCCTGCCAGGCTGGTCTGGATGAGACCCGGTCTCAGTCCACCTGCTGAAGGTCTTCAGTACACCTGTGTCAGACTGATCTGCTGAGACTGAAAAGAAAATGTTCTGGATAATGTCTGAAGATTTCACCAACATTTAACTTCTATAAGATATGATCATAAACCTGATGTGATCATACAGTAATGTAAAATCTCTGTGAATCAAATGTGTATGTGTTCAAAATAAAATAAAGTTGTTTGTGTAAGTTTGGTGATTTAATGTCTGTGAAACATTGTTCAGAGTTGAATCTGAGGCTAACAGGATGAATCTCGTGGACCAGTTTTAGGATCAGTGTTTAGCCAGCTCTCAGGACTTCCTGATCCCTCCTGTCTCTGGATCACTGGCTCCTACTGATGAAATAGAGCTGTAGAAACACCACTAACACTCAGTGTCTCCAGAACAGCTCAGTTTTCAACAAATGTTCCTCAGACAGGAGGAAATGGAGCATTTAAGAACTTTTCAGTGGTAATTTAATCCACATTTAGTGCTGGGGAGTGTTTGGGGCAGCAGGATTGTGTGTGTGAGAGTATCTGTTTATTAGTCTTCATACACATTAGTAGAATATGTACATTACTGGTTTAGTATTTTCATGGGATTTATTGAACATGTTCAGGTAGTGGTGGTTTGGTCTTGTCATTGGGTCTGAAGCTGATGTTGGGGGCCTGAGGGAGCTGGGTCAGAGGGGAGCAAAATAAGAGGAGCTCTGGTTTGACTGCTAAAGTCAGTAGTGAGTGACTATGGACTAAAGGAGATGCATAATGGTGCTTCAGATGGCAGCCTAGCAGTGTGGTAACACACCTGTGTCTCAGGTGTTACTGTCACACTCACCTGTTACTTTTGAACCCTTGTGATGTTGGCACCTTGTGTAACAGGACTACATCTCCACACAGTTCTATCTACTGATCTTAACCTGCTCAAGTTAAAGCTGAGATCAGCACTCCACTGTAGTATGTCATATCATATATTCAGAGTGACTGTGCTGTGAAGCTCAGCCTGAACAAAATCACAGAGTGACCGTCATACTGTATTGGAAAAAAGGGACAACACATTTAAATTGACTCAGACTTTTACTGTGGAGGGTGAGCCAGACATCCTGCTTCATTCTCCTCAGGAAGTTCAGAGTGATCAGTCAAGTCTGTTCTTCCTCCTCATCATACAGATCCCCCTCGAACCTATTCAGCTGTAAAGTTCCTTTCATGCAGATGAAGACAACAATCTGCCCCTCCTGTCAGTCCTCTGGATCAGCTGGAGGCTTTTCACTGAATTATTGGGACATCCTGATAATAATTACAGTTGTCCAGTCTAGAGGCAGCATGCATGGTGTAGTTTTTCAGCTTCCCTTTGAGACAGGATGTTTCTAATTTTCATAATGTTGTACAGGTGGAAGAAGGCTGTGTGAAGTAAAAGACTTGTCCTGGTCAACAATGACTGTAGCAATGGAGACCAAGGCAATGCCGTCCAGAGTAAGTATATTATCAGACAATGTGTTTCTGAGGTGCTCAGGGCCATAACTTCAGATACGATTACAGGTAAGCCAGGTCTTTATGGGACTAAATGCATAACTGACTCTATATAGAAAACTTAACATTTAATTGAATAACAAGTGCACCTGTTCATTAACATGTGGACTCACCTTAACATCACTTTCCTGCAGGAAGGGAAGGTCAGCCAATAAGAAACATTAAATATCTGATACTAAATGATTTACATTATATATACAAAATATGGGCTGACGCCAGCAGGTGGCAGTGTGGTCAATGAGAATGACAAGAGTACCTGTGCTGAGTCCTACCTGGGGGAACAGAACATCAGTGGCTGCAAAACTCATCAGTACAGGAGTGACTAATACAACTACACCAGAGCATGGATGTATTATTAGATCCATGCACTAAATGTTAACATGTGCTAGCATCGACAGCTTTGCTTGAAACATCTTATTATCATTGTGTTGTTGGAGATAAGCAGAAGCTCAGAGTGAAGTGAGTGAATGAGAGTAAACAACCAGGCGTGATTATTGTCGTTTCAAACAGGAAGAAAAATGACAGATTAAGTAAAAAATAACTAAATAACTAAATAAAAGCACTGGAGGAAATGCTAATTAGGAGCAGCTCCCTCAGGTCCGTTATTCCATAGCAAACTCCGTCCATGAATAGGTAGATTTAATGGTAGGCCAACCTGCCTAACATATACTCCACTGTTCGTAACTGTACAATAGCTTGTCGGATATTTATTAGCGGCAACAGTTTAATACGACACGTTTCATCTACCACGAAGCTTTTAGAAGAATTTAATGTAGTAAAAACATTTGTTTAGGTAACGGTTTCCGCCCTCTGAGGTGTCTTGGTGGATTTGTAGAGACAGTTTTCACTGTAAACAGTCTGGTGTGAAGACTGTATTGTAGTGAAGCAGTGTGTTGAAGTGTAAGCAGACCCATAAAGCTTCAGCCAGAAATCATAAAACTTCAGAATTTTAAACATAGTTTAGACGCGCTGTGGACCGATGTGAACAGGGGCTGGTCTGAATATGGAGGCGGAGTTCTTGTGACTGAAGTAAACTGAGTTCAGGAGTTTAGTCTGACAAGATCTAAAGACCCGCAGAGGAAAGTAGAGAGAAGGTGAGTAAATCCAGCTGCAGTCACAGCCTCAGAGACGGAGTGTTCCCGCCCTGGTAGTTAGACGGTGCTGACAGTGAAACGCTTGGTTGGCAGAAACAGTCCAGACGGATGTTGTTATCACGAGCTAGAGTCTGCTGTCCCTCAGCTGTGGACCCTGAGCACAGGCTAACTGCTAACACAGAGACGCACTCACTGACTGCTTTCTAACTGTGGTAGGAACAAGTTTAACCTTCTCTGCTCACAGAAGTCAGTTCACTGTTTTCAGGTTTATGAGAGCTGCAGATCATTTACCTGTAATTCACTGTACAACTCGCTGAAGCTGCTTTATATTTATCTCTTCATGGAGGAACGCATGAGTAAAACTGATCTGAGTGTGGTGTGATCAGATTTAAAGAGATGTAAAGTGATCAGATAATCAGTCAGCTGGTTGAGTAGAGTTAAGTGCTTCTGTCTGTCTTTTCAAATTAAAGTTTAATGATATTTCTATACTTGTCAGCAGGACATAGTGTAGTCAACTGACTGGTCGTAGTGGATTAATGTCTGATGAGTTTCAATTTATTTTCCGGGTGCAGATTTCTAACCTCAATAATCCTGTTGATTTATATAACTAGTCATAACAGCAGATAAACCAGTGTACCAGTCCTGTGGCTCAGTAACCCACATCAGACCACCACACCAGAACCACCCCTGAGGAAAATGTAAATGTGGTGACAAAGTGTGATTTATGAACATAAATCTTATACAATCATTTAAATCTTCATTGACATACCTATTATTCTTTCTCGACCTGTTTTTAGATTGCGTATGGTATTTTTGTGGGATTGATAATCAAATAATTTCATGTATATTTTTCCATGTAACCAAAGTGAATACTATAGATAGCCTTAGCTCAAATCTAGCTTAGCCATCACAGCACATGTGTGGTTCAGAGAATGATGATGAAGTATATGTCTCACACATCGTTTAATATTCACCATGGATGTGGCAGGTCGTTTACCACTCCTGATCCATGACCAGTCATCATCATAAATTTTGGTACATACCCTCAGTCCAAGTTTGGGTACAGGCATTGTGAGCCCCATCCACAGGGGAAGCACAAATACCTAAAACCTGTACCTAAAAACCCAGTGGACAGACTGTCACCAGTTCAGGCGAACATGCTCTGGGACCAGTATGAACCAAAATCTTAACAGCCATATTATTGGTTTAGGTGGGCGTGGCCTGCTCTATATTTGCTCATAACTTAAGATGCCTCTGATCAATCCTGACTAGACTTACTGGAGACGTTCTGCACTGTCACTGGCTTGGGTTTATGATGATATTGGTGGATGTCTTCCACTTAAACTGTGAACAGTCTCATGACTTCTTCTTCAACATACAGCTCTTGGATTGTGGGTGGTGAGTCATTGAGGAGGACATCGCAGCTTCCCTCTGACCCCAGGCTCAGATGGCCTGATTTCTTAATAACATGTTGCAAAGCTAAAAAAAGGAGAAGTGAACTCAGATTGTCTAACGTATGGAGAAATGTGCAAAGAAGCTGTGTGTTCAAATATGTATCTTCTTTGCTGTTATCAAGCATCACAGCCAATCAGAGCAAGGACTGAAATAACAACACAACATTTAGTAGGTTGTAATTTATTAAACTGTAGAAGAAGCAGCTGTGTAATCTCTCTGTATAGCGTGTGACGTACCTGTCACCTGTAATCTTTCCCTTGAGGTTAGCTGAGGTGGAACGTGATCCTCTTCATAGAGCCTGCTGTCATGGCTCGATACCTGAGGTATTTCACCACTGTGGGTGACGTGCAGCCCGCTCAGTGGGGGGAGGAGGAGGAGCTGCATGTGACCAGTGAGGAGCTGAGTCCAGCCACAGGACAGTTCCCAACCAGCCTGACCTTCAGAGAATCACTGAAGAGGCTGTACAGCTCCGACCGCTTCCAGGTGTGGCACCCCAGCTTTACATACACCTGCTGGTAGAGCAGGGTCAGAATCCATCCATCCATCCACTCAATCATCTATCTATCATCCTTCCATCCATCTATTCATCCATCCATTCATATCCTTCCATCCATCCAACATCCAGCCATCCACTCAATCATCCATCCATCATGATACTTTCACAGTATTAATATAGAACCTAGACCTGCTTTATAATCAAACTACACATGGACCTTTATACCTTTATCTTTATACTATATGGGACCTTTAAACCTCATTACATGAATTTCCCCTAGGGGGATATCTATCTATCTATCTATCTATCTATCTATCTATCTATCTATCTATCTATCTATCTATCTATCTCCACCATGTGAGTTATTTCTTTAGAGAGAGAACATCTGTGGTGGAGCTGCTAACACCTCATAGACATCTGAAACATGACACCAGGAAGATACCAGGTTTTTAGGTGTCACAAGCCAGGGGTTGGTTTCTTCAAATTGTATTTTATGAGATTATCATGTACTAAGTAAGGATTATATTTCCCTCTGAGATGTAGTGGAGTAAAAGTATAAACACTCAAGTACCTGACACTGTCCTAGAAGAATGTTCTGTTGAAGTGATTCAGGTGGATAAAGTCTGATGAAGTGAAGCATCTTCTCCTGATTCCAGGTGTTGGTCGTGTGTCTGGTGATCCTGGATGCCATCTTTGTTCTGGCGGAGCTGCTAATAGACCTGTCTGTCATCAACTTGGAGCATGGCCACATCGCTCCTGAGGTGAGTCTCTTTTCAAAGGAAACCCTCAGGCGTCATTACAACCTGTAGGTCTGTGACTGAGCCGTGTTTGCTGTTGCAGGTGTTTCATTACCTGAGCCTGGCTCTCCTCACCTTCTTCATGGTGGAGCTGGCTGGGAAGCTGTTTGCGTACCACCTGGAGTTCTTCTACCATAAATTTGAGGTGTTTGACGGATTGGTGGTGGTGGTGTCCTTCATCCTTGACATCGTCTTCATCTTCCACGAGGATGCCTTTGATGGGATGGGTCTCCTCATCCTGCTGCGACTCTGGAGGGTGGCTAGAATCATCAACGGTCAGTAACACAGCGAAACAGATGTATATGCAGATTAAACAGTGAGGAGGACAGTTTAGACATTTATCTGAGTTTACTGTGACTTTACTGTAACTGAAGCATGTTTACATGTTTAGCCAGGCGAGCAGAGTTACCATAGCGATGGCACTCCAAGGAGTCGGGGGCGATAACATCTTTTCTAATTAATTGCAATTTTTATTTGAATGACCAAAATGGATTGTTCAGATCACAGAGACCTCTAAACACATCTTCACTACATGTTGTGTCCCTGACTTGTTGCTTCAGTTCAGGCTTCATCATGTTTAAATGCTCTACTAATTATTAAAGTGAGATGGTAACATGGCTGACAGCTGCTGTGTGAGCCGCCCTGACTCTCCTCAGACCTGTAAACTGTGAAGTGAACAGTCACAGTCTGTGTGGACCTGCTGCAGTTTACATGACTGTGGTGGATCAGGATCATGGGTCAGGAGCATGTGGTCCTGACTGTAGACTCTACCAGAGAGAGACAGACTGAAGAACGCCTCCTCAGACTGATCTGAGCTCAGTCAGTGTTTGTTGTAGAGGCAACTAACATCTGTCTGTTCCTGCAGCTAACATCTGGCTGCAACTTAAGCTAACATCTGACTGCAGCTAACATCTGTCTGCAGCTGCAGCTAACATCTGTCTGTCCCTGCAGCAAACATTTGACTGCAGCTAACATCTGTCTGCAGCTGCAGCTAACATCTGTCTGTCCCTGCAGCAAACATTTGACTGCAGCTAACATCTGTCTGTACCAGCAGCAAACATTTGACTGCAGCTAACATCTGTCTGTACCAGCAGCAAACATTTGACTGCAGCTAACATCTGTCTGCAGCTGTCAGGCAGATGTCAACACAGACAGTGACAGACTGTCAGTCTCTGTCCACTACAATGGACATCTGTACTGTCTATACTGTCTATACTGCCAGTTTTAGATTCAAACAAACCAGTGTTATTGAGTGTAGAGGTAGATGTCTGAGAAGAGCTTCACACAACATGGTATTAATCTGATGTGACTACATCAAACATCGAATCCAGTATTTTGGTCCAGACTGTAACATCTGGACAAAGAGACACAGACTGAGAGACGACAGTCCAGACTCTCCATCTGTTCATTCAGTGTGGTGCAGACACACATTGACCCTGTGATTTATCATCAGGCCAAACGTGTCATTCTACCAGTTGGTTCATGACCAAATAAACTGGTGATGAAACTGGTGATCAGCTTTGTGTTTACTGCTAATTAGCAAATGCTAGCATGATAGCACTAAGTTAAACATTACCTGCTAAACACCAGCATGTTAGCATGTTAATGTTAGCATTAAATTCAAGGCACCGCTGTGTCTGAGTAAAACCTCACAGAGCAGCTACCTTGTTCAGGTAAAGTCATTTAAAGCTGAGTGATGTGATTGGGTACAGAATATTAAATTATTCTTAAAATAAATAATTTAAAAGTAATAATAAAAAATCATCGTTATTGTCATTACTGCATTACTACAGGCACAGACTCATGTAAATGACCTCAGCCCTACCAGCCCATGTTCTCCAGTGTCAGAGTTTAGGTTGATAAACTTAAGATCTTCCTGGAGTTCCCAATAAAAATGTAGGTCTCACTCAGAAAGAGAAGACGTTGCAGCTGCTATATCTGGAGGTGACTGTATTTGAATGTGTTGTAGGTATCCTGGTGTCAGTGAAGACCCGAGCAGACCAGAGGATCCACAAGCTGAAGGAGAGCTACGACCACCTGGTTCAAAGAGTCACAGAGCTCCAGCAGCGCAGCGATAAACTGGTGATTCAGTTTCATATAAGAAATCAGAGACACAATTTACACACTTGAACACAGTGTCACCAGGGCCACAACTACTACTGAGGACACAGCCTGGGGGGACTTTATATCCCACACTTAAAGCTTTACACATGGTGGGCATTGTAGAAGTTAATTTCAGTATCTTTAGACTCTAAAGGTTTACATTTGACAACATAATTTAAAAAATTGATCAAATTTGGTCAGAATGAACTGAGAGTGGTAGTTGAGTGTGGTGTAAGGCAACTTAACTCTGCTTTAAAGCAAAAACTGCAGTTTATTTTAAAAGAGCGTTTATTGTTGTAGCTCTGGCAGTTGGTTCTGTTAAAATTGTACTCACCAAAATAAAAGCTGAGCTCAGAACATGATCAGTAAAAATAGGTGCAACAGTGAAGAATCATTAGAGGTGCATAATATGCCTCATTCCTCTTCACTGATCAACACCAGAGCTAAGACATCTGTCAGGTCTGGTCTGGCTGTGTGTGTGTGTGTTGAAGCTTTGACTGACTGACTCTTCTCTGTGTCTGTCTCCATCATCACAGGAACAAGACAAACAGAAACTTGAAGCCCTCCTGAAGAAGCATGGCATCGACTTCTAACTGTTCAGTGTCATTTATAGTATTTACCTTTCTGCACCATTGTTTTTAATTATCAGACTATGCACTCCATGATAAACCTGTCATTGTAGACCTGCTTTCAGTTTTCCTACTGGCTGTTGACAGAAGCTTTACGGTTAGAACATTAACTGTAAAAACATTGTCTTATTTTAAAGGTTGTATAAATGGATCATACCCCGGATTCCTGTTACTGTAGTAATGGAACCCAGTGAAATGTCTGCATTGATCTGATGAATGTCAAATATTCAGATGCTCCTGGATGTGACTATAAAGCTTCGAGGCCTCAGCCTGAACCTGTAAATAACTGAGCCTTCATACTGAGAACATGGACATTCAGAAGAAGTGAATCTGTGTAAAAATCAGATTTACATACATGAAGTGGTTTCATTTATTAAAACATGTTAAATAATGTTAAAAAATTCTGTACACATTATTCACAATATACAGCAATAGACTGATAATTCAAACAGTGCTGCTCATAAATACCACACAGCAGTGTTCATGCTAAATGTTAGCATACTCAGGTGAGTGGAACCTGTGTGGACTGTCAAGCTAATCAGACAAAAGGGAAGAAGAAGTCGAAGGGTAGTTTGGCATTGATGGTGGGTGTAACTCTGTAACCAGGAAGAGCAGCAGCAGACACAGGTATGAAAGCCACGGAGGTTCTGACTGACAGGAAGCTACTGCCACCAAACCACTGTAGGAGAACAAGACACAGCAGAGGTGATTAGTGGAGTAGACTTGCATCTTTCTATTACTCCATTAGTATCTGTGAGTCTTACCAAGCTGGTGCTGTTGGTCTGGATCACTTCTTTGATGCTCACAATCTGAGGCTGAGGGTTCACCAGGGATCCATGTTTGGTCCACTCAACTTCTAGATGAAAGGATAACGGGATGCTACAACTCTGGGCGTCCTGCAAACGACATACATACTGCTGGATAGTGGCCTCACTATGTACATTATTTACTGCTTAAAGGAGCTATTTGGCTACGTCCACACTATTATGTTTCCATTTTAAAACACTTGAATAGAAATTATTCCTGACCAGACAACCGTTTTAGCTCTGTATCAGAAATAATCTCCATCCATACTATCACACCTGAAAACACATATCACTCTGCAGTTGGTTAGTTGCAGAAAATACTCTGAACAAGGAACAGCAAAGACAGTTGTAGCATTACAATAGATAATGTAACTGAACAACAGCTGCTAGCAAAGACAACAAGGTCAGTAACACTTATTCGTTATCATGTTGTATTCACCACTGTTAGTCGAGGCTACCAGGAAAGACCATGGGTGTCTACATCATTGTTTCCAAAGGTCTCAATTTCTGCCTGTTAGATACAACACAACCCCAGAGTTTTCAAAATAAAACAGGTCCAGCAGTTTCTGAAAGTCAGTTTAATAAAGATAACTACATGCACGCTATTCTTGCCATTAGCATCAAAACATGGCGGTGCAGGAAGATATACAAACATGGGGATAGCCTAGCACACAAGAGGCAAATGAAGTCACATCAAGCAAGCAAAATGCCATTCTGCCAGAAAAGGTACTTGAGATCAATTCCAAGTTAATGGAGTAAACAGCAACATCATTCAGATCCGCCTGTAAAGGAAAGGCTAGCTTAGAGAAAGCTCCCTCCTTTGATGAAACTTAAGGAAATCAATGGTGCAAAGGTGGGCACTGTATATAAATGAGATCACTCCTGCACTGAAATTATAAGCAGCCTGGCCTATTTTTTGCTGGTAGCAATGCTCATGCATATGTGTGCTGCGGGTGACTTTAACCGTTGTTGATGAGAAAGCGTGGCGTGCTTTGTTTCTGATTTGATGCTCATACATTTGTGTTTCATCTGTTTTGCTATTTGACCTATCTGTCTGTAATTCCTGCCGATAAAATGCAGAATTTAGTAAATTACTCTGCAGTGTAAATGATTGATGGGCCACCAATCATGATCGGCCGATTTCATCAGACAGCGGCTTCAGAAAGTCTTCAGACTACTTCAGTTTCTGCCCACTCCATTATATAAACATTTAATTATAGACATTTTTGCAGATTTATTAAAATTCAAAAACTGAAAGTCTTCAGAGCCTTAATCCTGGTCTGAACACAGGGACACAGGGACACAGGGACACTAAGGGGCAGTCAGAGACTGGTCCTGAAGACTCTCCAGTGTTGTCTTGGATGTTTTTTTTCAGGTCATTGTGAAGCTGCAAAGTGAACCATTGCTCCAGTCTCAGGTCCCAGTCTGTTAAAGATACAGTTGGGTTCTTGGTCCCCTCCCTGACCTGGGTCCTTCTTACCCGATCCCTCAGTTTGTCTGAACACCAGCTCTAGAAGAGTCCTGGTTCCAGACTTCACTGGTGGTTTGTTTTTTGTCCTGACCTGCAGGTGATCCCTGGGACCTAGGGTTGGGCACCAAGAACCGGTTCCAAATAGGAACCGGTTCCTAACGTCCGGTTCCGGAACCATTAAGAAGATGTTTGAAATTTGATTCTTTTTTTTGGTTCCTAAATGCCCGCACTAGTTTGTTTTCGGGGTTTGTTTTACTCCGCCCGGCGTGCTGCCGTGCTCCGTTTGTTTTCGGGGTTTGTATCACTCCGCCCGGCGTGCTCCGCTAAACATCACTTGTTGAACATGGACTGCAAACGCTGCTCGAAAGTCTGGCTTCATTTTAATTTAAAAAAGGACGGATTCGCACAGTGCAACACCTGTGGTAAACTTATTTCTGCCAAAGGAGGATGCACAACGAACATGACAAAACACCTTCGCATGCTGCATGGTATAAAACTTTTTTTCTCTCCTGCACCTCAAAGAATCAGAATCGAGAATCGTTTACAACAGGAATCAATATTGAGAATCGGAATCGGAATCGTTAAAATCCAAACGATGCCCAACCCTACTGGGACCTGATACACACAGGTGTGTTTATTTCTGAACTCTGTCAAATCAGTTCAGTACACCACAGGTGGACTCAGTCAAAGGCTGCAGTAGAAAAGTCTTTTTTGCTTAGGAAGGTTCCAAACTGAGTGAAATGACCCGGAAGTATTTCAGCAGCAGCCATGATGAGAGCTGGTTGAATTCTCTAAATGATAAGGATCAATGCTTCCTATCTTATCTCCTTTAGCATAGGAAACACTGGGACCTTCCTTTATGAAAGGAAAAGAGAAAATGCCATCCCACAATTCCTTGCTGCAGCAACATTTAAAGTGACATACCATTGAAGTTTCACCTCAGCAGACCCACATAAATGTAGAAACAACAGAGAAACAGTTTAAATCCAGTCAGGAGTCATGAAGAATAAGCAGGTTGAATTTATAGTTAACAATGTCATCATCATAACTAAATACTATAGCCTATACATAAATGTAATTTCACTAAATCCACTCCCATTGTGTAAAGCACTAAAAATGAATTTTCCTCTACTGAACAATTGTATAGAAATGTTAAAAGCACCTATGACAGGAAACTATAATCTTATGTCTGAATATAATTTATTCTGATCTCTTGCACAGTTTATTTTTATTTAATTATTATTTTAATGGCTTAACTTTTTCTATCTGTGTTTTTCTTTCATGTCATCTTATTTCAACCCTATTTGTTTTGTTTTGTTGTAAGTAAAGGAGGATTTATCCTCCATGTGTTATAAATAAAGTTAGTTTAAAAAATAAAAAAGCTTAGTGTCAGTGCAGTCAGATTCTCTCTGCACTCTCTGCAAGTCCTCATGAATCCTCCTTCACATCTTTCCTTGACCTCATGACGCTTTCCATTAAGGTCAAGGAGAAATCGTTAGAGAGGAGATTAGTTTGACTTTTTGACCAGAGCCTAGGTCTGATCAAATTAAAGCAGTAAGCAGCTGACCACAGTTTGGAGCCACAGGAAAGGGTCTAAAGACTTTTTGATTTTCAATATTTGCAAAAACCTCTCAAAACATATTTTCACATTCTGGGTTATCAAAGAGAGATTAATGCACAAAAGTGGCAATTATATCCATTTAATATTAAATCTACATAATAAAGTGTGATAACCTGAAGATATATGATGTATATGTCTTCTGAACCCACTGTGTTTGTTTATTCATTTATACTTTATTTAATCAGGAAGTCACAGTGAGATCGAGAACTCACAAGTTAGACCTGAGAAAATAAAATAAAATAAATAAAAACTAGAATCACCTCCTGGTGGTTGTTTGCCTCCTCCACTCAGACTAGTTCCAGGTTACATCCCTGTTTATCCAGAGTCATAAAAAATATGAACCATTTGTATGAAAATTTGTCATAATTGCTGTGAAGTCTTGAGTTATGGATAAAAAGTATTTTGTAAGGACACACTGACCTTTCACCTTTGACCACCAAAATCTAAATCAGTTCATCCTTGTGTCCAATTGAAAGTTTCTGCCAAATGCCAAGTTCCTTCAAGGTGTTACTGAGATATCACATTCACACACGACCTGAAAACACGCAGCTTCTGGGTCTGATTGTACAACACATACAAACTGTCACAACTATCCCTCAGATGTTTACGACACTGTGTTATTATCTTTATAATAATATAATATAATATTATCTATTATCTTAATTTACTCTCTGCCCCACCTCCTAGGAAATTGTGTGCCCTCACGCCTCCTTAACCCCTCAACTACCAGTACATTTAGGCAGGTCTTCCTCTCCTCTGTCACTCCACCAGACACTTATCTTCCCACCACTGATCAGCTAAATCATTTCAGTGATATCAGTTTGGCCACCATAGACTTAGTGGCTCCATGTAAATTTCGCACTCATGCATCTTCCAAAAGCTCTCCCTGGTTGAAAGAACACACTCGTAAACTCGTAAAGAACAGAAAAATTGAGCGCAAGTGGAAATCCACTAAATTACAAGTAAGTTTTCCTTCAACCTCTTAAAGGCTGTATGACGGACTATAATACTCCTATCAAAGATGCAAGAGTGAAATACTTCTCCACTCTGATTTCAAACAACTACCATAATTCCAGAATCCTGTTTAAGATTATTGAACACATTATTGGTGCCCCCCAGATCTCTGACATTTCTGCTTCTCCAGAACTTTGTAATTGGTTTTTGACCCATTTTAAAGACAAAATTGATTCTATCAGATCAGTGTTCAACAGCAGCCAACCACTTGTGGGCACTCCAAACTCTGGGAAATTAGCAGAATTCGCACCTTACCCAGCCAGATCTCCTCCAATTACTTTATTAAAAGTTATAAATAGCATGAAGTCCTCTACTTGCCCCTTGGACATTTTACCAACTCAATGTCTGAAGGAGGTTCTCCCTACTATTGGCCCTCACATTTTGTCCACTGTTAACAGCTCCCTGAACTCTGAGTCTTTTCCCGCCTATTTTAAAACTGCTTTACTCCCAAACTTAAACCCCTCAGTTCCTAAAAACTACAGACCAATCTCCAAACTTCCATTTCTTTCAAAAGTCATTGCAAAGTTGTATTTCACCAGCTGACGACTCACCTCAACAGTAACAACCTCTTTGATAAGTTCCAGTCTGGCTTCCATGCCCTTCACGGCACAGAAACTGCCCTTCTGAGGGTGAACAATGACCTCCTACTGGCAGCTGACTCAGGCTACAGCTCAATTCTGGTCCTGGATTATTCATGCATTTATCTCATCACGTCTTGACTATTGCAACTCCCCTATATACATGTCTCTCCCAAAAATCTCTTCATTCCCTCCAACTCATACAAAATGCAGCAGCTAGACTCTTAACTGGTTCCAAAAAAATCAATCATATTATACCAATTTTATCCTCCTTACATTGGCTACATGAGTCTTTTAGGATCAATTTTAAAATACTTCTGATCACTTTTAAAGGCTCTGTCTGGTTTAGCACCTACATCAGGCGTGCTGAGTCATTGCACCTGTTTAAATCGCTACTCAAAACACACTTGTATAAAGCAGCTTTTAATTCTTGATTTAAATTTAAATTTCGGTCCTTACTTTTGGTTTTACTTTTTTTTTGTTGCTCTACTGATCTCATTGATTTAACACACATACTTATGCACTACACGTTGCCTCTCTTCTTTGTGTCTTTTATTTCTTTGTTTTGTTTCTATGTTTGTACAGCACTTTGTCACTTCGTTTTAAAAACAGGGGTGATAGTAAAAAAAAATCCTAAGCCTGAACTTTTTTCCCTGGGAGGTAAGCGGGCCCCGAAGCTAAGATATATGCCCCGATCAACGCAACTGTCAAGTGGGATCCAGGGGTGTGCTCCCCTGGGACATTTTGATAAATAGTCCATTGAATTAAATATTCTGATGACTTTTGTGGATACAAATGTACATTATTCAGACATGAGATGACCAAACCCAATACAAGCCTATATTACAGTAGCATCTTTGTGTAGAGCACCAGAGCTCTTGGGACCCTGGGCCTGGTAGGCCTGTTCAGTAATCCATCCCTGCTTTTAACTAGTCACTTACCTGCGTACTTATTGCTTGTATAGCATACTGAGACTACGGATACTACAGCCATACCAAGAAAGGTCAGTGGGTGACAATTATAATACTCAAAAGTAAACTAGGAATTGAATGAATGAATGAATGAACATTGGATTTATATAGTGCTTTTCAAGATACCCAAAGCGCTTTTACAATGGAGGGGGGACCTCACTAACCACACTTTTCACACTGCCTGCATCCTCATCATAAAATCGGACAAGTACATTTAGAATTTTATCCATGCTTTTGTCCCTGGCCTCATCAATGTTGAGTGAAAACATGTTATTCTCAAGCTTGTCACAGATTTCTTTTAAATTCTTGTGAGATGCCGTGTGTAATAAGATAGCTTGCATGCTGCCTCGAGACAGACAGATGCGTAAGGGCGAGTTTATCCTCCGCTAATCTCTGACACAAAGTGACGAGTGGATGAGCGATTGTAAACGATAGATCATACTCGGCAATGAAGGAGCACAAGCGAATTTTTAAATCAGCCACGCGATCGGTCATTGAGGGTCGGATATCTGCTGTGGCTGTTGCCCCCGGCAAACGTGAGCTATGTTGAATTGCTCGTAAAGCTGCTTGATGACTAGCGTTGAACTTGTGCCGTGGCAGCACTTTTTCCTGCTAGTTCCATATAATATTTTCCTTGCACACAAAGTGCAGAAACATGCTCCTGGTTGCCGGAGTTTTTGACACCAGCTTCCAAAGGGCTTTCCGTCTCTACCCACCTCCTCTATCCAAGACCAACGCCATTTATTCTTTATACCTTTATCGACAAGTTTGGTGTCTTCCCCTGGCTTCATAAAATTGCACTCCATGACTTCAGCTATGTTTCGCGCTGCCAGTGTGGGAAACACATTCATAGTGTATGGGAAACACAAAACATTCGCACGTGGGGTGACTGCTGAATCAATCTGATTGGCCAAAACCCAAGACCACCCCCTACCCTATTACCGATTGGCTTAAGTAGGCTATGCCTACTGGTGTGGTTTAGAGTGAAAGCGCCTCTCGGATCTTGGGAATTGTGAGATCACGCGAACGTGAACCTGATTTTTTTTTTTTTTCGCAAACATCTCGGTACGCTGGAAATCCGGCGTGGTGTCGGAAATCCGGCGTAGCGCCGGAACGCTATCAGCCCTGTAAAAAGTGCTATATAAATAAAGTTATTATTAGTGCCACGGGTGCTCAGCTCCGAGGCACTCCTCTACAGCTAGAATAGCTGAGAGGAGTGCCTTGGGGCATCTATTAATATTCCTTCGGGCTTATTATTATTCTTCCGCCAAATTTTGGTGCGTAACTCGTCCCGCAGCTTTGAGAAAACCCCGGTAATATATACATCAAAATGTGTGTCTTGATCCCGAAAGAGGTGCTATGACTTTTGGTGTTAAAATTCCAATTTTTCCCAAAGTTATGCCTAAAATACTGGGAATAAATAATGCATTAGGAATGCATTGGAATTTTCTTTAAAAACCCACAAAATTTCACCTTTTTTCTACAAAATTTCACCCAGCTCTCTCATACCTGCACGTAGAAATGTGATTCAAACTATAAAACGGAGGAAAACTTCTGCTCTCTCCAAAACACAGCAACTGTTTTAACATGACATGTAAACTTTTCAAACAATGAGCACTCAAAGGAGGAGCGGAAATCACTTTTTCTTCACAGTTAGAGTGACAGCGTCAGTTGGCTAGAGTGCGTGAAGCAGTAAAAAATAACCTTTATTTTTATTTTTAACTCGAGCTCACGGCCAAACCGTAAAAAGGAGACAAATAATTCTTTCTGAAAATGTAGACATAGTTGTTGGGATTCATAAAATGTAACTTTGACAGGCAGGGTCTGCACAAAATTTAAACGGGGGTGCCGAGTCCGGCAGCAATACCTGTCTCACTCTCATTGACACCTAATGTAATCGTCTTTTTTTTTCAAAAGAATCTCACTCTGTCTTCGCACTGAGCTTACTCACTCATTTTAAGGAATATCTGAATAAAATAGAGACTGTAAGAAACTTCTGGCTTCAGTGTCTGTCACGGTGTTTTCGGTTTTTGAAAAGAAGTAACGGTTTTCTCATAATTTGCAATTGTTTTAAGCCATGTAGAAGCCAAATTCTGGGCAGATTTTCACATTGCCATGGCAACGGCAGCTCCTGACCTGTGTGCGTGTGTGCGTGCCTAGCAACCAGATAACCAACTCTCCAAGCTCCGCTAGCTTTACATTAGCCGCATGTTAGGTCTTAAATTACATTTAGTTAGGTCTTAAATATGTAAGTCCATTTACTGCTTCCTTTGTTGCTTTTCTTTTTGTTTTGTTAAATGAGTGAATGAAGTTGTGACGGTCTCCGCTGAGACAGAGGAGAGGAGAAGCTACTAGCCCTCTCTCGCTGTCACTTCTAGTCGCGTTGCTCTCCTCCCCAGTAATGTTAAATTTAGCACCGAAAAAAACATTATAGTGGTAATTTAAATAGTGGTTAATGGGATTTATTAACCCTCAGGGGTCCCTCTGTCCTTTATTGGACATTTTCTTCACTTTTCTTTTTTGATTAGCTGATCATTTTGGCTGTGTTACAGCTGAAGGTATGGATTTCTGCAAGAAAGTGTCTTTTTTGACATATTTTTAAAATCTAATGTCAGTTACTGTTACAGGTCTATTATACACTGGTAACACATTTTGTACCCTCTGGGGTTCCTTGCGTACAAAAAAGGACACAAAGAAAATGCTATAAAATCATCATATATCAATATTTTTTTCTGCTTTTTTTTGCATACATCTCTTAAACCACTTCAGTTCTGCTCAAACCTACCAAATGTTTATTAGTTTTCAGGATTTTAACCCTTTAAATGCCAGTTTGAAGACATGTTGCCTCTTGTTTTATTAAAAAAAACAACACAGAATATGAGATATTTCCCACATAATACATGATGGAGGGATGTGACATTGTTTTATATCAGAGTCTTTTATATCAAGACATTTCTCAAAACCAGAATATGATCAGGGTGACTTTTGAACACTGGAAATAAATCATGTACTCATCCCGGCAGTAGTCCCCGTGGCACTAAAAATTTCCCTGGAATTTTCTAGTTATTATTATTATTATCATTTATTATTAGGTGTTGCACCTATTGCTCTGACTGAATTTGAACTCACCCCAGGGTTGAAGCTGCTATGGACTTGCACCCAGTCCAATGGATTGTTTAATGGGGAGTTTCCCAATGAGGCCACGTACTGGGGAGAGTCTGTTCCTCTCAGGACATCCAGGAGCAGCTGGGACACCAGCGAGCAGTTGGCAGCGTCCTCCAGTCTGCAGGAATAAGACAAGTCTCAAGAAGACCCTGTACCTGTCCACAGAGGTGGGATTTGCTGAGTGTGAGGATGTTGTACCTTAAAGTGCAGCCAGACAAAGAGTCCAGACCGAACAGGACTGGGGAGCGCTGATGTGGACCATGCAGACAGTCCTGGTCCTCAGCACTGTGGAGAAGAGACAGTGTGTCCCTGAGGTCTACGCTCCTGACAATCCCAGTGAAGATGACTGTTAAGGACAAATCCTGGCCCTTGTAGCAGATCAGAACGCCCCCCTTCTCATTAGACACTGTACATGAACTGAACCCCGTTTACTGTTATTCGTTCACAGTGTCCATCACAGTGAGGCAGGTAAAGGATATTCTGCTGCTCTTGTTCCGGACACTAGAGGCAGTCCAACCACGTAACCTGGATTTCCACTGTAGTGGACTGTGGCCTGCTCCACGTTCTGCTGTATAACAGACACAGAACAGGACACTCACTCAGTCTCATCAACAACATGTTTTCATTGATACATCCTCACCACACATCTTAAAAGGTTTTACAACACTTAAATCAAAAGTTCAGTTAACTCAAGGTCAGTTTGCAGAGCTTTCAGTCACATCACATGGTCTTCTTCTTTTTAACAGCAACTGACAACCGAGAAAACTCCATCCACTGAGGAAGACCCTGAGATGTAGCTGAAAGCCCCAGAAAAAGCTAGTGAGTGAACTTGGTTTTGTCAAATGACTGAATCCAAGATGAGGACTTGTTTTATATATATATATATATATATATATGTTTGTGTATTAGTCACATGTTTGACGTTGAGGTGCTGGTGAACCTCAGTTTGGTTACACACATAGTTTATAGTGTTCACCACATCACAGTTTTTATCCATAGTAATATAATTAATCAGTTAATATGACCTGACACCAGCTGACAGTAAGTGACAGAAAACTGATGGATGGATTGACAAATTAAAAAATAATGAGTACATTCAGGTTTTTGCTCAGATCCTCACTCTGTGCATGTTGTGCTACTTTCTTATTGTATTTATTGTTTGTGTTTTAACAGCCTGTGAAGCCAAAGGCAAACGTCCACATCCATGGACAATAAAGATTATTATTATCATCATTGTTATTATTAAGCTATTGATCCTCCAGTAGTAACAGTGTTCGCTGCAGGTCTGATGGTGCTGAGTATCACACCTGTCTCAACTGTAGTCCACAGCTGTACATGTCTCCAACAGCTCACAACCACAGAAACAGCTTTAACTCATGTTACTGTATGCGGAAGGTAAGAAGCTCAACTGCTCCTTGTTAAAACCTTCCTAGGCCTTTTATATGAAGAGACTGATTCTCTGCTTTTCGTTTCAAGTCCTGGTAAATCTGTCACTGAACATTCAGCAGGTTCTGATCCTTCAACAGTGTCTTCTACAAATCAAAACAGACTCTGACACAGCAGGATCAAGATTTCCTCATCTATAAAAAACACTCCATGACACATCAGCAGTATGTTGTTGAGTGACTGTACCTGAACAAAGGTGATCTGAAAGTCCTGTTTCAGAGGCAGAGCAGCTTTACGGACAAATCCCAGCACCAGAGACACAGACACATTCAGTATCTGTCCTGCTGGACTGTACGTCACCACATACCCGACCTGAGGAGACAGAAGGAGACCAGAGCACAGGGACTCCTTTTATCTGATACATGTTTCATGATATATAGCTGATATCACTCAAACTATTATAATCTCTGTGTTGTTATTGAACACTGTCATTAAACCGTCACAGCTCTGGTGGAAACAGTCAGAAAACCATGGATTTAATAACTGGTTGAAGCTCCTCTGAAACCAGCTGTTCAGTAGCTGCTGATCAGAGCTGCTCAATGTTCAGGAGGAAGTTTGGACCATTATTCTTATAGAGCTGCTTCAGTCAGTCAGATTCTCAGGATGTCTGGTGTGGGCGAGTCTCTTCAGGTCTGGGTTCTGACTGGACCACTCCAAAAGGTGGATTTACTTTGATGTTTAAGGTCATTGTTCTGCTGCATCAGCAGCTTCATCCTCAGTCTCTGAGATCTTTGTTGTGAGGCCTGGTTCACATCAGCTGATGTTTCTCTAAATGTCTGAGTGTTGGTTAGAAGTCTGGTTTCACTGACTGACTCCAGGTCTGATAACTCTTGAATCCACTCTGCTTCTGTTCATGTCACACACTGTTTCAGCTACACTGTGAATGTTTGAATCATGTTTTTAATATGGACGATAACAACACAATGATGTTGAGTGTGTTGTTAGTTAAAATGGACTGTGTTTGTTCATTGTTGTAACTTGATGATGATCTGATCATAGCTGTTGTTCCCAAGATTCACTGACTGTTTCTTTCTTCTGTCAACAGATGAACAGTAGAAAAAACAGAAAAAGTACAACAGCACCTCTAACTCTGAGCTCAGTAATTAACATGTTATGAATTTACTCATTTTCAACAAACAGTGAACATGATGAGATCAGTAAAGGTAGATGCTATGCTCTGTATTTGATTGTACAGGTGTCCCTAATAAAGTGCTCACAGAGTGTATGTGTAATAAGATGTCTGTGTTTGTTTCAGCAGTTCTTCCCCCCTGACGAGAACAACACTTGCAATGTTCTGGTAGATAACGTTATAAATACAGGTTTTACTCTACAAACTGTCAGGTGCTGGACTCTAGTGGACTCACCTTCAGGACCACATTAGCACAGAGGCCTGGGTTCAGGAGAACAGGACTGAGGTCTTCTCTCTCACTCATGCTCAGCTCAGTCTGAGTCTGGTCTACAGACTGCAGGATGACTGAAGCTACCTCCACAGGAACAAGCTGCAGCAGCACCAGAGACACATCAGTCAGACATGTTCACCCATATTCACCCTCTGCTTCATTTATAGCAGTTTATATCAGTTCACAGAGTCTCCATTAATTCCACATCACAACAACACTTCAACACAACTTACAGAGACTTGAACGTCGCTTGAGTCACAGTAGAAAACAGATCAAAGTGGTTATTGTGCCTCTTTAAATACTGACAACAGTTACACTGATGCTTTGTTGGTATAGGTTAATTAGTACAGATTCATCTGAAAAGTTTACACTGCATTGCAGCAATATCTCATCTGACTGACAAGCACACACAATGTTCATTGTACATGTACACTGTCCAGATCAGACAAGTCTGGGTAAGTTGAGTTTCATACTGTAACATAATAATGTATAGCGGTTCATCATGCTGCAGAGACTTCTCAGTGAACAGCGGTGATGTGAAAACAACTGGCGAGTTCCTTCTCTGTGTCAGCAGAGAGAAAGGAGTCATATTTCTGTGTCTGAGTTGCAGCATTAACCTCAGTTTCTGCTCTGTGTGGTAAGACAATGATGGAGACATGTTTATGCTCAAAACAAATGTCACTGTCTTGCTAAATTTCCTGGGTCAGCAGAGGCTGTGAGGCATGTGACAATATGTGATTATTTCACAGCATCCAACATCTGCAGATCAACACTGAGCTGAGGAGCATTGTGGGATTTGAAGGCTAAAATAAACTAAAAAAAACTATAAATAAAATACAATTAAAGACAACAAAAATGTAACTGTACACCATGGAGACACTGTGGTTCTACATAGACATATGAACACATAATTTTGAATACATTGTTTTAACAAGTCTGTTATGGAGTTGCATCATTTAACCTCTGAAACCTCTGAGTCTCTCATTATGATGGTCATGTAACCACTTCTACTCTGTTTATTGTCACTTAGTAATCAGTTAGACATTTATTTTCCTTATCGATTTCTCCAATGTTCCTCTGTCTCTCCTCCGGTTTTCAGACATTTTAATGTTTTAATTCCACAGAATTAGTGGAACTATTAAAGAAATCTTGTTTTAATGTCTAACTTCTATCGACTGGTAAGGGCTTGTATTTCCCTTGCATGACCCAAAGTCCTTCTTATACGTGGCGTCTGTAGTTTAGAGGTGGAGTGTCTCATCATGGATTTTCTTTTTTTTTTTACTACTGGATTTTCTCTGCAATAATAACTTCCATCGTAAAGAAAACTGTAAAATGGGGCCAGGATCAGTAGATAGTGTTATAAACATGCTCTACATAAAACCTACTGAGTCTGAAGTTTCCCTTTAAGAAGCTAGAGCCGGTCAATTTAAAATACTTACTGCTGCATCTTTATTCTTCGCCTGTAGAGTAGAGAAGATTTAGTTAAACATCTTTAAATGATTCTTTATTTTCAGTTACTTCATGTTTGAAACATTTGAGTGTTTTTTTTATTTATTTACAGATCCATGTTACTTTATTTTGTCAATAAATAAATACATAACTATTGATGATGATAAATATCAACAGGCTGACAAAAAGTGAACCCTGCTCCTTTAATCACAGCATCAACATCACGACTATCACCTTAGAGAGTAAGAAAGTGAGTGTGGATGTTTTTAAGGAAGAGACAGAGTGCAGCAGACTCACGGCACAGACATGGATGTTAGTGTAGGTGTCCATGTTGAGGGCCACTGAAGTGCTGCAGTCCTGGTCCAGGACCAGACGCCGAGAACAGGCTCTGCTCTGATCCTTTAAGAACGCTGTCAAAACAAAGGTTAACAATGAAAACACTCATAAAAGGAAGAAAAATACTCATTTTAGAAAACATGTTTGAAATAAGAAACTACAATAACACAAGATGATAAAGAAACTTCTTTCCTAAAATGTCAGACTGTTCCTTTAACACTCTATTTAACAAGCTATTAATATTAATAATGAAATCATCTGAATAAGAGGAAATGAAGTGATGAGAGGATTTTTCCTAATGTTTGACAGATCCACCATCGCCTCACCTCTGTCCTGCTGAACCGTTCCATGTTACAGGAAGTCAATCACACTGATCAGCCTGTGCTTTGCTTTTATTTTTTATTTTATTTGTTGCACTGTGTCCTCTGTGGTTCTATGACAGGAGCCATACAACAATAACCACTGCAGTTGCTGTTATAAACATCATGTACTTGTTGTTATCACAGTGTTGGAGGCTGAGGGATGTTGTGTGTCTGCAGGAACAAACATGTTGAACTCATGTAGAGAATCAGTTGATGTGTGACTGTGACTTCAGGCTGTGTGGTCTTATTCTGGGAGAAGACGTTTAAGGGGACAGTCTGTAACTTTTGGTAGAAGTAATAACACAGCCTTTTTGTTATGAGTGAAGAGTTGAATGAAACAGAGCTGTGCTCAGGTCAGTGCACTCAGCAGCTTTTCTTGGTCTGGTATGACCATGTGTTTATGGTGACTGTTCTCAGGTCAGATCAGAGAACACAACATAATGAACTAGAATCACCTCCTGGTGGTTGTCTGCCTCCTCCACTCAGACTAGTTTCAGGTTACATCCCTGTTTATCCAGAGTCACAGAAAATATGAACCATTAGTGTGAAAGTTTGTCATAATTGCTGTGAAGTCTTGAGTTATGGGTTAGGTTTCAGTATAGATGAACGTTTTTACCAAATTTGAAGAAATTCCCTTAAGGTGTTACAGCGATATTGCATTCAAAAGGCCAAAACTGTGTTTTGTGAGGTCACTGTGACCTTTAACTTTGACCTTTGATCACCAAAATCTAATCAGTTCACCCTTGAATCCAAGTGAATGTTTGTGCCAAATTTGAAGAAGTTCCTTTAAGGCGTTACTAAGCTATCACGTTCACAAGGCCAAAACTGTGTTTTGTGAGGTCACCACACCTGTGACCTTTGACCCCCAAAATCTAATCCGTTCATCCTGAATGTTTGTGCCCAATTTGAAGAAGTTCCGCCAAGGCGTTTCTGAGATATTGTGTCCACAAGAATGGGTCAGACATACGTACGTACATATGTATGGACGGACAGATGGACAGCCCGAAAAAAATATGCCTCCAGCCCTGACTGGCGCCGGCGCAGAGGTATAAAAGCAACACAACTGACAACACAGGACAGGGATGAGGGCAAGGACGAAGTTACATCAAATAAAATAAAATGGGAGAAAGGTGAGATGAAAGCAGACAGAGTATTTCACTGCTCTGTAGTGCCTCTCTGAGGGGAAAGGTTCAAAGTACAGTCTGAAAACTTTACTCTTTATATGTCATCTGTGGCCTCCCTCTAACTGAGCTTTATTTACTTTTCTATACAGTTTATTCCCAACATTAAGATCCTCCTTCAGAAGACACAGTCTGAGTGTGTGTCAGTCAGTGAAGTTACAAGAGGTCATCCAGTCAATGTTCAGAGGTATTTAAAACCACTGATTGTTTGACTGTCAGATGCTGCAGTTCATCAGCAGTGTTGTGTGTGCTGGACAGCTTTAAACAACACACACAATGATACTGACACAGAGACCAACAAAAGAACATGATGCAGCTCAGGTGAGCAGAGACGATCCCACTAACAGCAGCTGATTTTATATAATTAATGTCAGATAAACACTGCTGTGCAACTCAGTCAATTAGCTACTCAATAGAAGTCTTATCTACCTGCAGGACTGGTGTCCACACAGTCAGCAGTGAGACCAGGAGCTGGCAATGAGAACAAACCTCTGTCTCCACCTTCACCTGTGGTCAGCATCTCATCCCCAAACTGAAAACACACAAACACAAAAACACAACCTGTCAGCAGAGAGCCAACATAGTGTTAAGTGCTGTAGACACTTAAAGAAAACCAGAGAAAGGTGAACAGTGACTACAGAGATGTACCTGGTATCCAGAGGAGGCCTGGAGCTCTGCAGGAGACAGCTGACCTCTGTTTCCCTCCAGGTCAAACATAAAGCTGGTGAATTGTTGAAACAGAGAGTCAAAGCTGCCATTGGTTGGAAGAACAGGAGAGGGATGAGAGAATCCATCAACACCTGCACACAAACATCAATCAGCAGCTGAAACAGACTGTAGGCAAAGAGCCTGGTAGTCATTAGTGACATTATTGCTCCTGTCTGTGGTCTGGTTCAGTCTACGAGTAACTCCTCAAACAGTAATATTCTGCACATTATATATATTCTGAAGAACAATAACACCAGCCTGATCCTGAAGATCAATCTAAATCTACCAATTGACTCACTGTTTTGTGACTGAATGCAGAAAATGTTATAACTGGTCTCCTTGGTGACAGACACCTGTGGATCTGAGTAGCCGTCTATGGTGCTGCCTAAAGAGTACAACGCCACATCATGGCTGCACAGCTGCTTGTTGCCACTGGAAACAGAGAAAAATAAACAGTGAGGATGAGCCTGTGTAGATACTGTTTGTAAAAGATGTTGCTCTTACAGTTTTTCACAATTGCTAAACCTAATTTCTTGATCAACCTGTGCACTTTGACCTGGTTTATACTAGTTTTAAGACGTCATTAGTAACAAGTGCGAACAGTTTTGAGTTGTTGTGCGTAAGTTATGAAACCTGTGCTAAAAATATGTCTAACTTTAAGCATATGAGTGCATCACAGTGCACAGTGTGTTTTAGTGAGTGAAAATGTGTTTGGAGTTTTGTAAAAAGGTGAAATGAGATCTGAAACTTGTGTTTAACCAAATGAAAATTGTTTATGGTTTTGCCAAAAGAGTAGTTGATTAAATAAATGGGTTCAGACCACTGAGGATTTGGTTCAGACAATGGGATTTAGTGTTAGCAATTCAGAAAAACTGTACTGGATACACTTCCTCCATATTTACCTGAAGTCTTGCTCCTACATTCTCTTTATTCACTAATAACTTCCAGTCACTTCCATTCAGCGTTTTTTTAAATTGCTGTTAAGAAGCTGTCAATGAGACAACACTTCCTGCTTGGATCTTTCACATTAAAGGGACTCGAAGGCCATTAACCCTCGCTGATCCATGACCATCCTTTTAATCTGACATGTGGGAAGAACAAGCTCAGTTTCAGTGACAGTAAGTAAATGGAAGTGACTGAATAAATGAGTGAATTAAAAACAGTGTTTCTGTGACAAAGAGAGAGTGAGAGCGGCAGATTGGTGAATATTGTGTTGACAGTGCTGTGGAGATGTACAGTACTTTATGTCAAATGTACAATGTAAGTTATGACAGTATAGGTGAGTACACCCCTCCTCAATGTTTTCAATGTCAGTACAGATGTTTAGCTGCTTGCCAGAAGCCTCTGTATTTTTAAGACCTTTATTACGTATGACTACACAGGTAACAGCACAAGCCTTCAACTGTATCTCAGTGACTGAAATCTCACCTGACCGAGGTCACGGAGCAGCCGGTGAACAGAGCCGCCTCCTCACCACAGTCCCTGTCACAGCAGCAGTTGATGTCACACACACCTCTGGACTGGTCACAGGGACACACACTGTCAACTGACACACACACACACACACACACAGGTTAGATCATGAGCTACCAGTAGCACAACTTCACCCAGTAAATTTATTCCAAATGTACTAAATCAAATACAGATACCCCCAAACACCAAATCATTACTTGTCAGCTGTCAGTCAAATGAGTTTGCTTACATCAGATCAGCTGTCAGCTGATCGATCAGATCTGTCAATCAGATCAACTCTTCTGATAACAGAACAGATATAAATTTAACTTCTTAACAAACAGGAAATATGTTGTCATGGATTAAGTGAGTGGAGCTGTGGGCTTCAACTTGCGCCATGTTTTTTTTAGCTTATGTTAACATTTTGGTCTCAGAGGAAAAAAGTTTGGAGACCCCTGGGTCAGAGGGAAACTCAAAACAGAGCCTGTCCATCCACCTGCCTGAGACTCTCTCCACCTGACTGAGAAAACTGGAACTAAACCTAACTTAATCTATATAATCATATGACTTAATTAGATCAGTGAATTAACGAACTGGACATACATACAGACTTCTGAACCTCCGGTTTTGATTGCTGTAGCTAATAAACGTTTTAGACAAAAAGAACTGCTTCACTGCTAACTACCACATTAGCTTAGTGTAAACCTCAGTTAACTAGCTATTTAAAACAACACTAAGAGCTGAGAATGTGTTTAACCGTGTACTGGGTTAACTCTACGGTTAACTCGAACCGTTAGTAGCAGGAGTAAGCAGGCGACCGGAGGCGGGCAGCGGCTCCGCGGGAGGTGTCGGTTGACCGGGCTGCTCTGTGCTGCTGTAGATCTGTATCGGTTGTGTAGTCTCAGACTCTGGAGGCTGAGCAGTTGTATAACTGTCTGTAACGTTAGAAGTCACATTACGGTCACCGGACGCAGTCGTGTTAAATGTGTGGTTCGTTGTAATTTCGTCTGTAGTCGAGACTTTAAACGACAGAAATAAACAGAAGATAAATAAGGACCTCAGCAGAACAGCTGAGTCCGCCATTGTTTGACCGTTGCTATAGTTCGTCTTCTTCTTCTTCTTTTATTTTCTTACTGCGTCTAAAGACACATTACCGCACCCTGCTGTCCACGAACAGAACAGAGAACAGTGCCGGTGTCGTGCCAAAAAGTGACTGCCTCCCAAAAAGGGATTTCCGTCCGCAGGAGCGCGCGCAGCCTGTTAAAGCTGAAAAGCGCAGTTTCCATGCGTCTACAGCTGCTTTCATCTGGATCAAACAGCCATTACGAACAAATACACTAACTCTGTGTCCGAGCTAATAGTGATGTTATGTATGTGTGAGACGATAACGTTTATTTCAACAGAATTTGCGGCCATAAACGTGTTTGCTGTTTATAGTGTAATTAGGCATAATATTAACGTGATTACAGTCAATAATGTTATTTTTACTTTTGTGTGTTTGTTATGTCTGACATCCTTGTTAAATAGACTGTAATTAACATGATGTATGTCTGACTTATGTATGCAATAAAGACATTTGGGACTGAAAGGGTTTTCTGCCTCAAAATGACTTAAAATCACTCACCACAATTATGATTTGAAGATTATACCATAACCAGTACTTTTCACTAGTTTGGACAGTGGACGTTTTAAATGTTTATTAAATGTTTATTATGTTTATTAAAAGACTGTTAAAGTAAGGTTGAACCAATTTAAGGTAAACACAAGAAACTTGTGCTACAGAAAATGGACCAGACTCAGTGAATAGCTCCCTAAGCTTAACATCCTAAATCCTATGATAAGTATTAATTTGGCTATACAGACTAATGAGCAGTGATAACTAACATGTCTTTGGGGTCATCAGGTGGGAACCTCCTTTCACCAGTGTTTCGTCTAGTTGGTCCCACGACACCTCCAGGAGGCTAGACAGTGATCACTGGCGTCCCAGAGTCACTCCCCTAATGCCAGCCATCACTGCTCCCCACACCACGACTAATTTCTCCTTTATCTTGCCTATGCTACCACAAACATCATCAACTCGGACAAAACACACTAGCAGATTCAACAAACTCCCCTAACCAGTTGGAGAAAGTGGCGGCCATTTTGAATGAGGGAGGCAGAGTCAAGGAGAGATGCCTTTTTGAGCTAAACTCTCCCTCGCCGGATTAGGCTGTGCTCTACCTCCCCCGCTCTCCAAGACAATGAGGGAGGTACAGTCAGGGAGAGGTGCCTTTTTGGGCTAGCTCTCCCCCACCCGCTTAGGCTGTGCTCTATTTTCCTCACACTCATGTCCACTTCCTCCTAACTCCCTCACCAAAGAAACAACGGACCTTGCTACAAATGGCAGTGTGGCCGCATCGATCGATACTTTCTAAGAAGTCAATCGAATAAGTCGGATGAAGTCCAGCGACAGGTAGAAAGCCACAGTTCGAAGGATATCAACAACACAGCTACAGAGGGGGAAGAAGAGACGACAAGAGGGGATGCAGCTGAGACTGAGGTGAATAGGCCAGTCAGAGAGAGAAATATGGAGCAGAAAACTAGAGTTAAATGGCCGAAGGCAAATAGCAAGAAAGAATGGGAGTCAGTCAATAGAGATTTGTCATTAATTTTAAGCAGACTAGGAGGAAATGCAAGCGATAGACTAGAGAAGATGGGAGATATAATCTACTCTTATGGTGCAGAAAGATTTGGGGTGCAAGACAGAAAGAGAGTTGAAAGAGTACAGCTAGTTAAGTCTAGACGACAAAGGGAAATGGAGAAATTAGTTAAGGAAAGAAGACAATTAAGAAAGCAGTGGAAAAGGGCAACAGAGGAAGAGGGGGGGGAATCGACGTGTTGCAAGAAGATTTGAGAGGCAGGCTAGCAGTACTTAGAAGGGCTGAATATCTTAGGAAAAAGAGAAAGAAGAAAGAACATGTAAGGACAGCGTTTTACAGGGACCCTTCAAGTTTGTTAAAGGATTGTTTAACCAGGAAAAGGGAGGGCAGCTTAAAGCAACAAAGTTAGAAGTGCAAAAGTATTTAAGAAACACGTATTCAGACTTGGAGCAGAATAAAGTAGTAGGCCTCCCACCTGACATGCCACCATTAGGACAGATAGTTCATGGATTGATTTAGACACCTAGTTGGAGGAGGTTGAGGAGGTAGTCAGGCTTTGCAAGGCTTCTGGGCCCCAGGGCCAATGGAGTCCCTATACGGTTTTATAAATGCACCTGATATCCTAAAGTTTTTGTGGAGGCAAATTAAGAATAGTTTGGGAGAAAACAGGTTATTCTAGAGCGATGGCGTAGGGCAGGAGGTGTTTTTATTCCTAAGGAGAAGGAATCTCAAGATCTATCATCATGATCTCGCTAAAGCTATGTGTAGGGGAAGATCTTCTTTAGCATAGTCGCACGGGAGATAGCAGTTATTTAGAAAGGAATGAGTAATAGATACTGCAGTAGAGAAGGCAGTAATACAGGTTTGCGAGGGTTGTATAGAGCACACTAGCATGATTTGGCATCAGATTCAGGCAAGCCAAGACAGAGAAAAGAGACTTGCACGTTCATATTTTTGGATCTAGCAAATGCGTTTGGTTCAGTGCTCATAGCCTTATTTGGGAGGCTTTGATTATTTTAAGAGTGCCTGGAGTAGTGGTTAAATTTAGTAAGGTCGTATTTCCAAGACATTAAACTATGCGTAAGATACAGCAGGCTTTACGGCAGGGTGGCAGAGGCTAGAAATAAGCATTATGGCAGGGTGCACGATTCTCCATTGGCAATTCAAATGGCGATGGTGGTAATCATTAGGGCTTCTAAGTTGGTGTAGGTGGAGAGAGGCGGCAGGATGGGTGCGCCTTACACCAATTAGTTACATGGTGACATGACGTTGATAACTACAACGGGGCCTGTATGAAAAGAGTACTTAGAGAACTTAATAAAAACTTAAAGTGGCTAGTATGAAAATTAAGCCTAGTAAGTCTAGAAGTATCTCATTAAGCAGAGGGAAGCTAAGTGATAAGAAGTTTGAATAGACGAAGAGGAAATTCCAATAATTAAGGGAAAAAATCAGTAAAGAGTCTAGGTAGGTGGTACAAGGCAGACTTGAAGGACGAAGAACAGGTAGTGCAGTTTCGGAAGATGTTGCCGAGGAACTGGATAGAATAGATAAATCAGGGCTTCCAGGAAAATTGAAGTTTGTGTGTTTGCAGTTCTGATTATTTCCAGACTGATGTGGCAATGTCTGTTTATGAGATTCCATTATCTGCTGCAGAAAAAAATGGAAAGATTAGTTTAGCTTTTACATTAGGAAGTGGCTAGGTTCCAGGTTCTTAAGTACGGTGGCACTGTATGGGAAAGGCATACTTCAGCTCCCAGTCATCAGTCTGTGGTGAGAGTTTAAATGTACTACAGGTTAGGACAGAGCTCCTGTTATCTGAGTAAAGATGTTGATCAGTAAGGTGGTTCCAACCCAATCAAGGGAGAAAGTGGAATCCAAGAATGGCAGTGCAGGAGCAGAAGCAACGCTCAGGCATACAGAGATTGTGGTAATGTCCAAATAGGCCGGGAGGCTTGGGGCTTTGGCCCCGGCAAACCGTGTGGATAGAGCAGGTCCCAAGAAAGAAAAGCTAGTGGTGGAAAGGTTCGTAGACAGGAGGAGAATATTAAGGGGTGCAAAGGCAGTGGCTCAGGCTAAGCAGGGACAGTGGTTAAAATTGGGAAGGGTGTAAAGAAAAAGCTTAGCTGGAAAGAGCTGTGAGTATGGAGGAAAGTAGCATTAGATTTCTTGATAGGGGCAACATGATGTATTGCAACTCCCAGAACCTAAAACTCTGGTAAATGGAGACCCGTATGTTCATTGTGTTCAGGTACGCAACTCTAAAGCAGCATTTTGTCAGGCTGTAAGGTTAGTCTGTCGCAAGAGCCGGTACCGTGGCGACATAACCAGGTTTTAAAAGTTTAGCTGCAGGAATAGAAGATACGGAGGCAGGCAAATTTAGGAGGGTCTAAAACAAAGAGAGTTGCAATAAAAGTTTGTTCAAGAGGGAGAAAGTTGGTAAGACAGCAAGGAGCAAGCCATCTTAGAGATGCTTGTGATTGGAAATGCAGGTAGATTTAGGAGAAAGCTTTTTGTTCCCCAGGAATATAGCCAGTACAAAGTTAAGGCCTGAACATAGTCTTGTGTCTGGAGTAAGAATGAAAGTATATTTCATAGAGTTGACCTTGTTCCAAGGGAGGCTTCAGTTGAAGAAGCATATGAAAGGAAAAAGCTCAGGTATGCAGAGTTAGGGCAGAAGCAGGAGCAGCGAGGATGGAAAATTAGGATTTGTCCATAGAAGTAGGATGTAGAGGATTTTAGCTAAGGTCTGTTTCTCTTTTGGTAAGGGGAGCTAGGAAGCAAGTGGACAGAGTGTGAGAAAATATAAAAAGACATGTCAGATGAGGCAGCAAGATACGTCAGTGGATTTGGGATTAGAAGAAGTAATGGTAGCTGGGGCCAGCAGGGGGAGCACTTAGGATAGACAGGCTTCTTAGGAGAAGCAAGGAAGAAAATCCAGGAAGAGGTTAAGTGTTTTTTAAGTGGGGGTGTGGCCTGTGTGTAGCCTCTTTGAGACCAGGGTTAGTTATAGTGAGTTGGTGTTTGTATTGCTCTGAATTGGTCTGTAGTGTGGTCTGACTGTCTAGGCGAGTTTTTTGTTTTATAGTGAGTTGTTGGAGAGTGGGGAGTAGGGGGGTAGAGCACAGCTAACCGGCGGGGGAGAGCTAGCCAAACAGGCACTCTCCCTGACTCTACCTCCTCATTCAAAGGCCGCGCATTTCCTCCAAACTGTTTAGGGAGTTTGTTTGCTGAATCTTGCTGGTGTTGTTTGTGCCTCTAGTTGATAATGTTGTGTGTGGTAGCATAGGCAAAGGTTAAAGGAGAAAATAGTTGTGGTGTGAGGAGCAGTGATGGCTGGCATAGGGAGTGACTCTGGGACGCAGTGATCACTGTCTAGCCTCTGGAGTTCGTGGACAACTAGCACGAAACATGTGAAAGGAGGTTCCACCATGATGACCCAAAGACATGTTAGTT